CATCATTCACTATGGTAAGATTTTTTGTTCTGATAATGCCTTATACCTGATCCCTTCGACACCTCGTGGATGTGTAGGCTGGTGTGCTTCTTCCATGTGGGCTTTGTTGCTTCTGAGCTTGATGGCGACCCTGTCTCTTCATAGCTGTGTAATCTTAGCCTGATTCTTTTATTTTTATTTTTAATTTTTTTTTTCTTAGCCTAATTCTTTAACCTCTCTATGCCTCATTTCCCCATCTGGAGAATGGGTGACAATACATGAGCCATCAGGGGCGGAGGGGGGAAGAGAGCATCGTTGCAAAGGGCCCATCAGTTCGTTCCAATCCCAGGGCCCCCAGGGGACCGAGCAGATGGTTCCATAGGGGTCCAGGCTGTCACCTTCACGACAGCAGAGAATCAAGCCTTTGTCCCCGGGGCACAGTTGCCAGCCTTCGGATCAGCAGCTCAGGCCTTACCTGCTGCACCACCAGCACAGCCGAGGCCTCACCTTGCTCAAGAGGCACTTGGAAGTCATGCTGAGCCCAGAAGAGCTGCTGATTACATAAATGGATCCTTGAATGCTGCTGGTGCTCTGGTGCTGATGGTGCTCGAGTGCGGCTGCTAACCACAAGGTCTACAGTTTGAAACTACCAGCCGCTCCACAGGAGAAAGATGAGGCTTTCTTCTCCTGTAAAGAGTGACAGTCTCAGAAACCCCCAGGGGCAGCTGTCCCCTGTCCTCTGGAGCTGCTGTTAGTCAGAATCTATTTCATGGGGTGAGTTTGTCTTGTTTTTCTTTTGTTGTTGATTTTGGTTAAGCCTGATGCTTCTAAGTGTGACATGAGCTACGGGAGGGGACAGTGGCTGGTGAGAAAAGATGCCCACGTTCCTGTAGACTCAGTCATGACCTCATTCCATTTGTACAGCTCCCCGGAGTGGAGGCTTTCCTCATGCCCACTTGCCAGTTGCAGCAGGAGGCTCTCGGGAAGGGCAAGCCACATGCCCAAGGCTGCCACAGAGCTGGTCTTGAACCCACAGACACTATCTCTGGAAACCAGCTTCTCTGGCCCACCCTGCAGCACCTCCCCTCGTCGCTGTTCTTGGGGAGGAAACAGACTCTAGACACACAAAGAATGAAGGGCACAGTGGGGTCACGGCTTGGACTTGATGGGCAGGGCCTGGAGAACAGAAGTGCCAACGGGCTTGGCCTTCGCCCACGGGCAAGAAGCAGTAAGAAGCAGGCAGCACGCTTCAACGTTTTAAACCGGAGCCAAGAGCCTTTGGGAAAGATACTTCCCTGGCAGTGGCATGTCCTTTTCCAGGGGCTCACCCAGGCACGAACACCCACGGTGGTGAGACATCAGGAGAGACTTAACTGCTGATGGAGTAAAATGGGAATAAATCGTGTTGCGCCCGACGCGGGCCCACACATGGTCTACCTCTAGGGGCCGGCGTTGCCTCATGCATCCGAGTCCTCCCTGGGGAAGGGACTGCTCTTGTGTGCAGAGTCCAGGGAGTGTGTGCGCGTGTGCGCATGTGTGTGACAGAGACTCAGAGAGAGCCCATGTAGTCCAGCGACTCCTTGGCTCCTCGGTTCCTTGTCTGGAAAGCAGGATGCAGGCCTTTGTGCCAGCAGTGGGTGCTCGGGGCAGGGCAGGGCCAGGGCGTCTAGGAGCCCTGGGTGGGGCAGAATGCCGCCTCCCCAGATACCCTGCCATAGCTCCATACACTGGTGCGAGGAAAGAAAGAATTTGGCATTTATTTAATATGTCAGGTTCTTTCTCATGTGATGCCAGTCTGATGCCAGAGTCCACCTGTGATCCCACCAGGGCTCCAGGGCTGGGTGGGGTGGGAGGTGCAGGGAGCAGGAGGGCCGGCTTTCCCCTTCTCCAATAAAACTGTTTGTCCATTGAACTCATAAAACATGATAATAAATAGACAAAAGATCAGTTGCCCTCAGTTTGATTTCCATTTATGGAGACCTCACGTCATCACCGGCCCTACAGAGTTTTCAGTGCCTCCTCTTCCGGAAGTGAATGGCCAGGCCTATTTCCCAGGAGCCTCTGGGCAGACTGGAAATGCCAACCCTTCCGTGAGCCGCCGAATGAATGCATGCATTCACTGTTGGCATCACTCAGGCCCTCCTCCCACATCTCACTGCCCTGAGTCGATGCCCACCGATAGCGACCTTATTGGACGGGGTAGGACTGCCCCTGCGAGGAGTCCGGAAAACTGGAACTCTTTACGGGAGTGGAAAGCCCTATCTTTCTCCCGAGCAGCGGCTGCTGGTTTTGAACCGCTGACCTTGCGGATCTCAGTCCAATGCTTAACCACTAGCCACTAGGTCTCCTCCCTCCCACCCAGTAGACCTTCTATAACATTTTCTAGAAGAAATTAATGAGGGCTTGAGCCACGCTTCTCCTCTCGGGCCGTTGTCTTTGCGGGAGAGGGAGGGGACCCTCTGATTCCCCAGGTTGAAATATCCTCCGGGGACAGAGAGCAAAACAGACAGTTTGGGTTGGAGGAGGACCCTGGATTTTTGTTTCTCCGCTAGATTTACCGGTTGGCAAGTTTCTTGGTTGGTTTAGGGAAATCCAGGGCATATTGTTTAGCATGGGGTTATGCCAGACGTCGTTCAGACCCTGCCCTGCACCTGAACTAGAGGAGTCGGCGGGAGACCACTGCAGACAGGTCCTAGCTGCGTTTGCTCTCAGACCCAGCTTCTTACCACAGAGAGCGGGTTGGGGGTGGCAGCGCCTGAGATGGAGGAAGAGTTGGGTTCTGGGCTTGGGCTGGATGTCCTCCTCCTCCTGCCAGCTCCTGGTGTGGCCCTCACAGGACACTCGTCTGTATCGGCTCCTTTCTTTTCTGCCTCCACACCCCTGAGAGCCTCCAAAAGCCTGGGACCAGCAGCTCTGGGGCCCCCACCCTCTTGCTCAACCTTGGAGGGTGCTGTGGATATGCCCAGGCCTTGCCACCCCCCTTGGGCCCGCCCATTCCCTCAGTCTTGAGAATCACTTATTGTGAGCATCTCCAGGACTTGAGCTTCCTGGCAGGGCTATTTCCACTTCTTGTTCTCCCCCTTCCGGAAGC